ACCTTCATTTATAAAATCCGTTATGTGATTCGAAAGTTCAATCTGTCGGCTTTAACCCCTGTATTCAGTATTTCAGACGGACATTTTATTTTTAAAATTTGTATGAAAATTACTCAGTTTTTAAATATTTTTGAGTGCTTTTCATATTAATATTGAAAATAAAATTTCCGTCCGAGATACTGAATACGGGAGTAAAATAAAAGTTTAAAAAATTGAGACAGATAAGTTTGTCATAGAATAAAGCCAACATTGAGTTTTTGTAAGTTTATGGTTGTTCCAAGCTTTAGGTTAACATATCTCGAAGAAACATGGATATATGACGGAGGTTAAACATTTTTTTAAGTCGACAGATTGGACTTTCAGATAACATAATGGATTTTATAAATTAATGGTAAAAACGGTGTTTTCATTTGGAAACTGGGAAATTTTAATTGCATATTTTGTATATTTTTAGAGCATATTTTTAGTTTTAAGAGCATTTTTTATGCGCATAAAACAATTTTTTTAGAGCATATCTTTGGTTGCCCTGGTCATTACAGATAGAATAATATTCTCTTCATTTTAGAAGAAACCCGGGCAACGCCGGGTACGCGCAGCTAATTCATAATAAACTCACACTATGTTGGGTACCCGGCCTTTGGCAATGAAAGAGCAAATTGTACTGCACATTTATTGGACCAGAACCATTCTTTGGTATCCCCAAAGGATACATTTCTTCGCCACTGTGAGTCAATATCAGGACTCAGATGACAAAAAGCTTAATAATGCTAACCTAAGATTACTAACCGGGCTTTATACCGGACACTGTGTGACTTAGATGCCTCCAGCACATTCTTTGCAACAATGTGACGAGGTTATGCAGATTCTGTGAACTGCAGGGTGAAACCTCCGAACATGTACTTTGTGACTATCAGCCACTATGGCCTTCAGAGTGAGTATTCTAGGAAGTGCATTTCTATCGCCTAATGAAATATTCATTCTATCACCGTCTAGAACATTAGGATTAATATGATAACTTAATCTCCATTCGTGAACCAAAGGGCTGCACAAAAGATCATAACTTGGGTCGTAGTGCTTTGTGACGCGCTCAATCAATCAATAACTAAATTGGATAAAACTTAGACAGCAGCAACATAAGTGACCAGAGTACAACATTCAAAATATTTTGTGTGAATATAAACTGACAATAATACGCGATGAATCCATTCTATAGCGTTTTTTAACTAAATATTTAAAAAATTCTTAAAAATAGTATTTACATATGTTATATTAAAAAAAAAACATAATTGTAAAAATAATTCAAATTCAACGCATTAAATACATACCTTAAGATTTATGTATATTCAAAAATCTTACTTACCCGGTTTTGTTCGACGAAAAAACGAAAATAACTGATTACAAATGTGCTTACCCGACATTTTAAATTTAAAACCGGCTTTTACAGTTATTTTCTGTAAAGGCGGATAATTACCAAAATTTTTAAATATTTTAGAGGGTAGTATTCAACAAATAATTATAAATTTAGACTTTTCTGCAAAAGTGATACAAATTCTAATCGAGTTTATTCCAGTAAAACAAAGTTTTGGTGTACCCTTAGAAAGTGCTATTTTATTAGACCTATTCTGAATAAAAATTCCCTGAGTTATGTATGTAAAAACAATATTGTGATTTTTGAATTAATTTGTGATATTTTTCCTTGGGTTTTTTCCGATATTTCTACAAATTTATCTGGCAGCCCTGGATATAAGTCCTTTTTGTTGCCCGTCTTGAAATTAATGTTAAAATAATAATTTTGTTTTCTAATAAAGAAATTCATAGAGTTTAAATGTATTTCTCCTATTCTCTAAAAGGCAAATTTAATAATAATTACGCAATTATTCGCATTCATGCTTCAATAAATACTTCATATCTTAATTCTTTATCCAGAGAAAAAACATGGTTGTGGTAACCATGTTCTAAGAGCAATATATAATGGTTGAAATTATCTAAATAAAGATATTCACACCTATCGCCAATCAACATTTCACGTGAAAAATTTTCCCTTTTCACTTATTTCGTTCACTAACTTTTTTGACGGGAAAGCAATTCCTCTGTTGTGAAATTTTCTGATGGAATTTTGTAAACAATAAACAGCTGTTGCATACAAAACCAAGTATTGTGAATGAATTGTTTACAGCGAGTTCATGATAGCAATTTTCCCTTCGAGGGGAATAAAAATTTTAAGGTAACAAAAATTTTACTACTCATTGCGTACAATATTTAACACAATTCACAAATTTTAATTTACTTCACAAAAACATAACTACATTCTTCGATACAAACTGAAATATAATAATAAAAGCTTTTTTCATTAGCATTTTAACTCATTATTTTAACGCGGTGATGTCATTGGAGGCAAGTACTCCCACGCTCGCTTAAAAATATGGAGTTATAGAAGTACTTGCAATTTGTCTTACAAAGAAGTTGTTTAGTAAGTTGTTTTGCTTATTAATAATAAAGAGAGCCAGCGAGAATACGAGCCAGGGACTTCGGTTTGTTAATTAAATGTTGTACTCACTGCACCACTGCTTAGCTATAATATTGCGCGTCAAATAATGGTTTTCATACAAAATGACAAAGCGGAAAATAAAGTACATACTTCTATATCAGATTTAAAGAAAGTTATTACTAGAGTACTTCTAACTAATGAAGACGGTAAGTAATAGTCATTGAAAAGTAAGTGGATATGTAAGTACAACCCATTATCGGGTTTTTGCTGGGTATGGCAAAAGTTATTTTGTTGTTGTATCAGCAGACATACATAGATACAGTTAATCTCAAAAATAAGTATACAGAAATACTGACAATTGGTTTTATTTAAAAAAGGATATTATTTTTTCAAAAATCAAAAAAGTAACACATTTATTTTTTAAAAACAATTATGATAATTATTAATCACTACTTTTTTCCGGGTTATTTTGGTTACTTGAGTTCTTATTTAAGGTGTAGTTAAATAGGTGCAAAATTACGTCACAAAAATAAGTATACAGATAATTTCAATATGTATTTGGCTTAATGATATTAACAAAATTCATGAAAATTTTACCTGTTTGAATGTAATTATTTTATAATAAAATATTCTGTACACTATAACATGCAAAAAATTCACTTTTTGTTCCGAAAAATTGAAATTTTTGATAATTGATCTGAATAATATTTATAAGAGCATTTTTTTCGAATTTAAGAACATCTGGCTATTTAAACCCCCGGAGTTTTGGATCGGGTATTCAATAATATCCCTCGTCTGTTCATTATGATGCATTGGAAGACGATATTTTAACTTTTAAATTAATTGTTTCTTTACAATAATTGCAATCCATTGCGGAACATTAACATAGTAATGCGTTCATATTCGATACTTAACGGCAATTTCCTAAATGTATATCTTATAATGCGATATTATTAATATTTGTACTAGTATCCATTAATTAAAACAAGTTTTTTAGTTCCAATCATCCATTACACACTCCTAAATACTACCAATAATCGTCAATAACTTACACTACATATTGGTTCTGAAATTGATTATTGTCCAAAATAGTAAGATTTTTATATTAAATCAGGCTCAATTGGTGGTATGAATACGAATTTTGAACACGGATACATCTTAATTTGTTGCTAGAACAAATAAAATGTCCGATCCATAAAACATGGTTATTGTATCGAGTATATCAAGATATGATTGGTAACATTATTGTATGCTTTGGAAATCGGAGTATTTGGAAAACCTGTTTATATTAAAGGAAATATATAGAATTATCCAAATTTTATAGTTTATGTTGTATTTCGGTTTTTTAAGAACGTACTGTGTTCAAAATGACCAAATCCATGCATATAACATTAATTTCGAAATAACAACTCTTTTCAAAAGTTAAAAATTCTATTTCCAATGCATCACTTGGAGGGTTCAATGACCACCAGATCCAAAATCCGGGGTCTAAAGTGGAAAAAAATCTTAGAAATTAGAAAAAACTGTTCTATTAATTAATTCCGGAGCCAATCGTCCCAAATTTCAAGATTTCGGAACTAAAAGTAGATTTTTTCAAAGTTATTGTGTAAAAAATATTTTATTAAAAAGTAATTATATTAATACAAGTAAAATTTTCATAAATTTTGTTAATATCATTAAACCAAATATATACCGAAATGATCTGTATACTTACTTTTGTGACGTAAATTTTGCACCTTTTTAACTTCAGCTTAAATAAGAACTCAAAGAACCAAAATATGAAGAAAAAAGTAGTGAATAATAATTATCATAATTGTTTTTAATAAATAAATGTGTTACTTTTTTGTTTTTTGGAAAAATAATATCTTTTTTTAAATAAAACCAATCGTCAGTATTTCTGTATACTTACTTTTGTGATTAACTGTATATAACAACATAACATATAATGGTTATTTCTAAGTTTAAATGGTTGTAAATAACATAATATATTTTCATTATTATCATTATTTAGTAGTTGTAAATATAATTATGTTTCAGTGACTTATAATGATTATTTTTAACAATATAACATATAATGGTTATTTGTAAGTTTAAATGGCTGTAAATAAGATAATATGTTTTCATTATTATCATTATTTAGTTTTTTGTAAAAATTATTATGTTTCAAATTTATAATTGCCATGAACATGTTACAGAGGATAAAGTATAGTTGTAGTAAGAATGTCGAACCATGTTTTTTCTCTGTGTCTAAAAACTAGTTATTAAGTCCATTGCCGAAAGAATAATCAGGAATCCTGGAATCTGACAAGATCCGTTCTGCTCCTCCTTCTTAATTGGATGACCCCGTTATTACACAATATTTCGCGAGCCAATTTTCATAGTTTTCATAAAAGGCAAACTCTAAAGAATTGTGTTAAGTGTATTATAATCATAAAAATATTATAGTCGGGCTAAGCCGAATATTGGTATATAATGGATGGCCCATACTTAAATAAAACAAGCTGTATTGTATTAAAATATTTTGTTGTATTTATATTATTAAAGGTACTACATACAGTAAAAGAGGAAAATGGAAAACTAGTTGATATTTAAAGTCAATCGGGTATCGCCGGCGTTTCTTTTCTTTTAGGCAAGAATTCTTCGAGTTCTGAATCTTCGATTTCACAAAGATGTACGGAAATATTGCTGCTATAAGGACTTTTGTTGCACAGGAATGCCTCATCGGAATTTACTGAAAAGAAATAAGTTTACAAATTAACTAATTTTTCCATAAATAGTAGTAAAAACACTTATAAACAAAAATTCTCAAAATTGATAAATGGAATGTTAAATTTGTATACTTGTTAAACATACATAGTTAATACCAGAGATTTGAAAAACTACTTATTGCAGTCGCAATTTACTAAATATTTTACTAAATCTAGTTTTAGGCTAAAAAACAAGTAACTGTTAAAATTTTTAATCACAAACTAATTGAAAACAGTCAACTGTGCGCACACGCTGCTGCAATAACTAGCAAGTGATTTTGTTTTTCTTCAGCATTCTTTCTTATAGATTTTTGACTACAAATACTTTTTGAATTTTTATGTGTCATTCGAATAAATTTTTTAAAATATAGAAGTTTATTAGAGTAGGGCGACAGTGTTATAATTTAAAAGTCTTTTCGAAGTATATCAGGAAATGTAAAAATAACGAAAATTGATGATGCAGCTAATACAGCATAAAGTAATATATTAATTTGGCGGCAATCAAGATAAAGTTTTTTTTATGCATACAGAAATTATATTGTGATGTATTGCGGACATAGAACCGTATTTTACCAACCCCAATATAAGGTCCTTTTCAGAAAATGACTAACGATCATAATTGACTTAACAGTAGCAATATTTCAACGAAATTCAAAATAAACAACTTTTATAAGAACCAATATCTATCTTCCAAATTTGATTTTAACGCTCATAACTGTCTTAATAATAGCTGTATTATGACGAAATTCAACACAAACAAGAACAAAAATCTTTACCAAATTTGGTGACTATTGACTCATAATTGATCCTACCACCATATAAGATCACCACTAGAAAATTACCTTATCGCTCTTAAGTGACTTAATAATAGCAGTAAGCGACGAAATTTGACACAAACAAGTTTTATAAGAACAAAATTTCTCGACCAAATTTTAAGAGGATCCGAACATAATTGACCAATCCCCTTTTAGGCTTAATAATACCAGCATAGTTGTGAAATTCGTCATAAACAAATTTATAGAAACAAAAATATCTGTACCAAATTTAATAAGATGAGTTCCGAATTGATACTACCAACCAACACCCAATATTGAAGTTTTCAAATAGACCAAGTTTTTAGTATTTAACTGTATACAAACTCTCCACATTATTAATTAATTAATTAATTACGATACTTTCAATTTCCAAAAAATATGTTTTAATTCGAAAAACATTTAAATTTCGAAATGTACGATCATGATTTACATCTTATCTAATGGCACTTCGTAAGAGCGCTCATGATGCCCCATTCGTTTATAGTGAACTTTTCAATTAAAAATTTAAAGAATTAAACATTTTCTTACAATACTAACTTATACATGGAACAAATTCAGTGGGAGAGATAGGTTTGTATGGCTTTAGAAAGTTTCACAAACGACTCTAAACATTCATTTGTTAGTTGGCTTTTTACCTAACTCTATCAACTGGCTTTTAAACTGTGACTATTTTCCATAACCAAAGCTTTCCTTTTAAATTGATCAACTGCATTTCTAGAGATCCAGTACCAATTCCAAATGGCTGAAAACTAATTGTTTTGTTTTCGTTGTTTCTCGCCCAAAAAGAATTTGCTTTATTTTGCTTACGTACAAAACGATTAAACAAAGATGAAAAGTTGTGTATATTGTAGAACGCGTTTGCGAATTGTTTTGTTAGTTTTAACAAACACTGCTCGTTAATCGATTCAGAAAGATTTTAAAATATGTAAATATTTGTTTATAAAATAAGAAAGTGTTTATGAAACTAAAGAGCCACAGCTCCACATCCAAAGAGCCGCATTTGGCTCGCGAGCCGTAGTTTGCCAACCCCTGGCTTAGTAGAATGGATTGTTTTTTATTTTGGTGTTTACATTTTACAATGATAAATGTAAATAATATCGCTAATTTAAATAAATTATGTATAATATTTGTAAATTTAGGTATAAAATATATGTATGTTTTATTTAGTAGAATCGAATGGTTTCTTATTTATGTGTTTAAATTTGATGTGAATATATATTATAGTATTCAATTATTTGGGTTTTTGTCTTATTCGGTTAATTCGACAAATAATTATTTGAGGTTTTAAGTTAGCCGGCTAATAATCGGATAATTCAAAATTATTCGGTTAATCGAATAAAAGAAAACTGGATGTTTTTTTTGTATTAATACTATTTCTTTTTTACAATATTTTTCTTCCTATAACAAACAAAATTATATATAGTATATAAAAATGAATGTGTGTTTGTATGTTTATATGTTTGTATATTTGAAGTTTATAGACTTCTAAACGGCTGAACCGATTTTCTTAAAATTTGCACAGTGTATTCCTGTATATCCGGTTATAGGCTACTTTTTATTTTGAAATTTCAAGTGGGCGAGGAGCCCATATTAAGAAAATATTAAATCAGTATATCTGAGATAATATAACAGTTAGAGTCCTCAAATTTTGTCGGAGCCACTTTAGAGTCAATATGATTATTTAGGATAAAAAGAAGGCGGACTAGCAGCAGAGGGCGTGGCACCTCCCATATAAATTATATACACAAATTCGTTTATCTTGGAAACTATTACAACTATAATCTTAAAATTTTGCACGAAGAACTTTAACATCCATGTAAACATTTTGGGTTATAAATTGGAGGACTAAAATACAAATTCGTACAACTGGGAAACTAATAGAACTAGAATCTTCAAAAATCGTAAAGTGCGGTTTTTATTTATACTGTTTTTAGGGTAGCAAAGCACACTGGGTATATCTAGTAATTTATAATCAATAGTTCAACATTTTATAAATTTTCCTATGAAGTTAATAAAACATAAATTTCAGAAAAATTAAATGTTTAAAAAATGTCACTTTGATTTATAATTAGATAAATAGCAGAAATATAATAAAAGCTTATATATTAACCCCCTTATTCACAAACAAAATTTTTATTTTATAAACGGTTTATAAATTAGATTTTTTATGGAAATTTTTGTTTTATAAGTATACAAAATTTTTATAAAATAAAAATTTTGTTTGTGAATAAGGGGGTAAGTATACAAAATTATACTGTAACCCTTTTTGACTATGGTGTAAACTTGAGGTGTACATTTTTAAAAGAAAAACTTTGTTTTTAAAACTGATAATTTATGTAGTCCATTTTTTCGGTCGATCTTCGATATAATATGTCTAAAAATACAAACCGTATATGTTCAAAAAGGGTTAATTCATAAGTTTCGGGTAAATTCGTCCCATGTGTAAAGGGTTTATTTTACTTTTTTCACTGTTATTTTAAACATAAGACTTTATACTAAAAATTCCAGTCATCTTTATTAAATTTGGCCGACAATTCACAAATATTGTAAAATTTCACTTTTGAACTCCACAATTTATGGGTTAAGAAAGTCCAATATGAATAAAACTTCGGATATATATTTTATATTATCTGAACTATAATACTCTGAAAATACTTTATTTAAAATGTAAAACAGTAAAGAATTAATACGTATTCAGTAAAATATTACAAAAAATGCGATTTTCCCGAAATACGCCGAGTTCAAATCGCAGGTAGAGCTAAATTGTAAGAATTATATACCTAATTTTAATACCGTTTTATTCCCTCATCTATTGTCCATAACTTCTCAACTATTATAACAAATGATAGGTTTCACTATTAAACAATTTGTTTATTGAATAACAAGAAATCGCGTTGATAGAAACAAACTTTTCAATTTAAATAGTTTTTGCTTCTCCTGTAAAATTTTTAAAATGTTAGATAGGGCCGTCTGCGTTTTAGGTGACGATATATTTCTTAAATTTCATAAAAGTACAAAAGATGTACCAGAGAAACACATAATTAATAATTTTGCTCATTTAGGTTGAATTTCTTGTTCCCGTTTTCCCCCCTAAGAGTGGGCTTTTGTAATAAACATATTTCTGAGACTACAAAACTCATCGTCTAAAATATTTTTTCTTTAGAGCGAAAAAAAGTAGTCTTAAAACACAGAAGTACAAATTTTTCCCGTTTTTTGGCATTTGTCCTATTTTTGTCTCCTTCTGGTCAAGCTTCAGACACTTTAAAAAGCTTAATTGCATTTTTGCTTAAGTATAGACAATAAAAAAAAAAACAACGTACAACCAGTGGTTATCAACCTACGCTTTCTCAATAAAAACAAAATGCAAAAAACAATAAAACCAACACGCATCTAAACAAACGTTTTTTTCCAATACAATGTTGTTCTTTGTTTTTTTCAAAGCATGCACTAACATTCCCCTTTTTTGATTAAATTTTCAGAGGTTGTCTTGGATTTTTGTTCATATTTCCGTTATTTATGGATGAATTTTGCTGATTTTAAATAGAAAACTTCTCGAAAGCATGTTTGACAGAATTATTGAAGACTTGGGACCCGAAGATATCTGGGATGTTCTGACAACTGATTTCAACGTACACACGAATAGACAGACATGGCTAAATCGACTCCGCTATCTATAAGGATCCAGTATATACTTTATAGGGTCGGAAAATTATATTATAGAATTTTGACAAACGTATATACATATACCTTTCTCACGAAGGTGAAGGGTATAAAAAGTATTTATATATTTGAGACCCAAGACTAAAACAAGACAAAGGTGAATATAAAAATGACATTAAGTACAAGCATATTTCAATGTTTATATTAGGGATGCCAAACGGGACTGGCTTAACTGCACATTAAATAAAATTAAATATCTGAAAAATGGTTAGGTTAGGTTGATAGGAGGATGTATACTACATCAAATCCGAAGAAGTACACCTAGGCTTCTATCGGGCCTGTTGTGCCCTCTTTATCATGAAAAAGAAATTACTGAATGAATTATTTTTCAGTGTTCAGAAACTTAGTTTCCTGGACGTAATTCCTATGAATCTTCCAATCAGTGTTAGCTAGGAATGTTATTTCCGCAATAATATCACTTCCAAGATATTTGGATCTAACTTCGACGAATGCCTGGCAGTGGCATAGATAGATAATGCTCCAGAGTTTCACTGTACTCTACATGCTCTACATTCGTCTGAATCCAATTTTACATAGATGTTCTCGTAATCCAATATGTCCACTCAGAATACGTACCATCATACTAACTTCAGACATGCTCATTTTGAGGAGATTTCTTGTCTTGCTCTCATCAGGGTCACCCTGTAGAACCATCGTGGTACTACCCACCGTTTCATTATTCCAAGAGCCCTTATGGGATTATCTCACCCATATTTTTAGTTCAGCTTTTGTTGCGTCGAATGGTTTTGCGTTTGTCAGGTTAACTACATCGAGCTTCCTTCTCTTTAAAGCTATTACATTCGCCCTCTCGTTGCCGACTACTCCCGAGTGGGCTGGTACCCATATGATGTAAGCCTTACCTCTGGGAGAGTATTTAGTTAAAGCTTTCTTACAATCCAATACGGTCTTAGATTTAATTCTATCACCTGATATCGCCCTAATTGCCTTCTGGATATCGGTAAATATGTATATTAATAACACTGTAAGTATGTCAAAAAGACACACAAAAACGCCGAGACACCTAAACTTAATTTTGGGTCGTAGAATCTAGTGGCATACTCCGTTTTGAAAAGTTGGGCGATATTGCGTTTTAAAGTATGAACTTATTTTATTTTTTTAAATTTTGAAAAAAGTTTTCACGCATAGACATACGAACTAATTTTGAAAGTTCAAATTTTACGTACTCTAATCCTGATTTTACGTACTCTTCTGCCTGAAAGCTTGTGTTATGATTTGGTAAACGGTGGTATATTTCTGTTTCTGGGTCTTCAGTATAGAACCCCAGCCCCACTTTGTCCCCAATTTAGAGCCATCCGCGTAACAACGGAGTCCTACTGGTATTTGCTCTAAAATTCCGCTTGACCAAGAAATTCAAAGTTTCCGACAAATTATGTGTCTGGTATGCGATCAGGCACGTCCGATTATTGTGTATAACCTTCTAAAGTGTCCAGTATACATTGATGACGAGTCCTATAACCGCTTTTGGCCAGTTCGCTTAAAGTAGACAGATCTTCGGCTGTAAGCGCCGCCTCATATCTTAAATATGTTTCAATGGGTGGAATATCTAGCAACGTTTCCAGAGCCTTGGTTGAAGTTGTACACATGGCACCACTTATACCCAAGCAGCATGTACTCTCCCTGTAGTAGTTTGATATTGCACTTTTTGTCTAAAGCAGTCCACCAGGTTATTGAAACATAAGCTAGAATTGGCCTAATTACACTTTTATAAAGCCAATTTGTCAAAGTAGGAATAAGACTCCATTTCATGCCTATAGTTCTGATACATATCGCCCAGCACCTAAGTAATTAACTTTGTCACTGGTATCTTCTTGCCCAGGAAGCAAGGTTCAGTATACGTAGAAATTTTTGTCTTTCTTGTGAAAAGACGGATTTCTGTTTTTGCCGGGTTAATATTGAGGCCTCTCGGTTGAGTCCAGCTCAAGGCCGTATTCAGAGCCTCCTCAGCTCTTCTACACAAGTAATTTGAATCGTTTACCTTTAAAAGTATTACGACATCGTCTGCATAGCAGACAATTCTAAGTCCTTTCTCGGTTAGGGTCCTTAGGAGGCTATTAATCGTAACTCAAAGTAAAGGTGACAAATGCCACCCTGTGTTATACCGCGAAATACCTTTTTCCTGATACATAGTTATATCGTACATCTCGCAGCTTATCCATCTGTTCCATAGCATGTAGTTGATCCAGTTACGGAGCACCCGGTAACATAAAACTGGTCTAGGGATTGGATAAGAGTATCAGTGTGTACGTTATTAAAGACGCCTTCGATGTCAATGCATACCGCCAGTGTATACAGTTTGCTATTAAAGGATGCACCTATGTGTCATCGATCATAGATTCCGGCTGAACATGAGTTTTGGATAGGAACTTTTTTATCTTCGTTCCTATCGTTTGGCTTTTCGAATGATTTTCTTATATTCACCAAGTTTATTACGATACTCATTCCAGTATACTGCGGTCTTTTTACGCCGTGCCCAGTTAAATACGTTTCTACTTTGGCGTATATATCCTCTTCATATCGACATTGAGAAATGTCCTGACCTAAACGGTTCTTTAGTAAGGAACCGAACATTGTCCAATTAGTTTTTGACTTATTCCGAAACTTTATCTTCTCTGATTCTATTGACAAAGGTAGATTTATTACCTAAGTTCAATGTGATCAAGTCTTTAGTATTAAGGAAATCACAGGGATTGTCCCCTGTGATTGGTGTTTGTACTACCCCAAGCTTATTTTTCTTTTGTGCCTCTTCAACTAGTTTCATCAGATCCGACGTTGGAGGTAGTGTCAGAGAATCGAAGGGCAGATAAACGGATGCGAGATATATTTTGCCACTGCCTTGCTTCAGTATGGTTGCATCCGATGTGGATAATCTTGTTGAGAGGAGGAAACATAAGTTCTTGTGGCATAAGATACATGTTCTAGGGCGAGATCCTGTATTAGAGTAGAAAAGTTGGAGATTTACGTGTTTTAATCCAGAAACCTTTTTGCGAATCGTCCAAGGTTCCTGGATTAAAGCTATATGTATTTTACCTGTGTTAATATTAGCTCCGATGGAGGTTTATTTGGATCGCCTCAATCATGGTCATCCATTTAACTGACTTGCAGCAAGTTGGTTTTTAACCTCCTCGCTCTATGGACTTGACTCCTCTGGGTAGACTGAAGTGACCATTGATGCAGTGGGTACTATTGATTGCACTGCGGTGTCCCTATCATGCATTGAAATATGAGACTGTTTAATCGACACCTCGATTTTAGGATCATAAATTAACCGTTTATTTTGAAAGGGGAATTAGTCTACTTTCGAACAAAAATTAATTAAGAATGGAGTTTTGCACTATTAAATGAGATTTTTTAAGAAAAACATCTGAAATACTCAAAACAAGATAATTTACCATTACCGGTATGACTCTGATTTGTAGAATGATTAAAATGAAAAACCCTTTAAAAACCTCTCTTAATAAATAAGAGTTTTATTCGACTGGTCCGAATCTAAAATACCCTCATATAGATACATGACAATGTTTTGATGGTGGGTATTTAAGATTCAGACCATCAATGTGATTTTTAGAAGAGGTCCTCTTCAGATTTCAGTGTTTTCTACAGACAGGCGGACATGGCTACTACATTTTCGGTCTACGACCAATATTTCGATGTATTACAGACGAAATAAAAGGATAAAATATATACAAAATTCAGCACAACTATACGATTGTAATTTTCAAGTTAATTTGATGAAATTATGACTCAAAGCAGAGTTTTAAACAAAGGTTTTAAATATAAAACCATTACATACTTACAATTGTAATGGTTTTATATTTAGTTTCGAGGAGAACACAAGATATATGTAGCTAGTTAATTAACAAATCTTACCACTTAATTTTCTTTTAGAATGTTCCAAATCATCATTGGTTTTTGTACATTTGTCATTCGATGAACTTTCCCCTTCTGTTTCGCTAAGATTGCTCAAAGGTGGCAAATATGTGTCAGGGTGTCTAACATACATTTTACCTAAAAAATAAAAAAAAAACAAAATTGAGGATATAACAAATTCTTATTACCGTTTTATATATTTATTGAATCTAATCTAAAAACAAGTAAGAGTGTTATATTCGGCTATGCCGAATCTTATATACCCACAATCAAATCACTGCCATATAAATAAACTTTGATATTTTGAATATTTTGTTATTATATATCGATATTAATGAGAATATCAGGGTAATATTTGAAAGAGGTCCATTAATGGGGGTTTAACTATTGATATTGCTCTTTCGAATTAAATATGTTAATTTATATAGGGAGTAAATATTATATGGGCCAATTCTCATTAAAGTCGGTAGGAAGATTTCAGTTCCTTATTTATTTCAAATTTCACAGATTTACTTGTATTTTTAAGCCAGTAATGAGCATTAAAGTCATTATCTTAAAGGGATAATGGACTGATCCGCATACGAATTGGTAGAAGGATTTCGGTTCCTATAGAACTTATCAGTGTCGAATTTCATCGCTGTACTCTCATTTTTAAGCCAGTAATGAGCGTTTAAGTGACTTTCTGATGGGGACCTTAAATGAAGGGTAGGTTCAATTATGACCGATCCCCACAAAATTTTGTAGAGAGATGTTAGCTCATAAAAACTATATCGAATTTCATCGCTTTAGTCGTTTTTTAGGCCAGTAATGAGCGTTAAAGTAATTTTCTGTTGGGGACCTTATATGGGGGGATTTATGGACCGATCCACATAAAATTTCCTGAAAGGTTTTGGCTCCTAAGATACTTACTTATGTAAAATTTATTCGCTATACTCGTATTTTTACCACAATAATATGTGATAAAGTCATTTTCTGAAGGGGACCTTATATGGGTGGGTAGGGCCAATTATGGACCGATCACATAAAATTTGGTAGAGAGATTTTGGCTCATATAAAACTTACTTCTGAAAAATTTCATCGCTATACTCGTATTTTTAATCCAGTAATATGCGTTAAAGTCATTTTATGAAGGGGACCTTATATAGAGACTAGGATCAATTATGGACCGATCCCCAAGAAATTTGGCGGAGAGATTTGCACTCGTATCAAATTTCATCGCTATAGTGGTATTTTTACGCAAATAATGAGCTTAAAGTCATTTTCTTAAGGGGACCTTATATGGGGGGTAGGGTCAATTATGGACCTATCCACATATGTAGAGTTTGGTGAAGGGATATTGGCTTGCATGAAACTTATGTGTGTCAAATTTCATCGCTATATTCGTATGTTTAAGCCAGTAATCAGCATTTTAGTCATTTTCAAAAGGGGACCTTATATTGGGGGTAGGGCCAATTTATTTGGGAAGTCAAAAAACTGGCTTATGCGAAATTTTGTTGCATTTGCTTCAAAAACAACGAATTTATGAATGTTTGAAGCTTTTTACACAATATTCCGGGGGGTACATTTGTATGGGGGCTATGTGAAATCGTTGACCGATTTTGCCCATTTTCAATACCAAACATTTCTGATCAATAAAAAATATTTAGGGAAATTTCATCTCAATATCCCTTTTTTGGTGGACACTATCGTGCCAACAACAGACAGACGGACGGACATAGCTAGATCGTCTAAGAATCTTACGAGGTCCCAGAATATATATACTTTATGGGGTCTGTGAACAATATTTCGATGTGTTACACACGGAATGACAAAATCAATATACCCCCCATCTTTTTTGATGGTGGGTATAATAAAACTTACAAAATCTTAAAAACTAATATTGTTCAATTTACAACTTAAATATGTACATACTTAGAATGTCCCGAGGAACAGCCTTTTTAAGAATTTCATGTAGGAATCAGTAAGTATTAATGTACTCAATACGAGAAAAATAAAAAATATATTTTTTCGAATGGTCCTCAGTTCCCTACCAGTGCACTATGGGCGGAATGAGCAGTATAGCCATAAAATTCATAGAGACCGAAAGCTTTCTACCAAATTTTATGTTGCTCGGTCCATTATTAAGGTCCCCATTATAAAATGACTTTAAGGCTTACAAATGTCAATATAGTGATGTAACCTGTCATAAACAAGTTTTATGTATACATAATTGCATCTAACAAATTTTATGACGATTGGTCCATATTTGGCTCAAGCCCTAATAAAAAGTCTTGCTATCCTAAGTTAAGGCCCACTATTGGGTCGCACATGCACAAAAATTATTAATTTTTCCTTTTAATTGTTTTTATGTAGTCTCCTTTAGTATTTCTTCGAAAATTATAACAAATCCACTGGAAAACAGTTATCGCATTTTGATTATCTTCCAAAAAAATGTTTTGCAATTGACTTACTTTGGATTTTTATGCAATCAAAATCGTAAATTTTACAGAGGGCTGCAGATATGAACAGTTGAAATTATAAAAAGATTAAAATAAATATCAATACCACTCTAAGCATATAAATAGTTTAGTGAATACGTCCCGATAAATAAAGTACTACACCATGGAACATTGACTATTACCAAAATAACATAAACAAGTAAGAGTGTTATATTCGGCTGTGCCGAATCTTATATACCCACCATCAAATCATTGGCGAAAAGGAATGCTACCTTATAAATAAACTTTGATATTTCTCATTTATTACATCTATGTAGAATTTTACCATCATACATATGATATTTCTCATTTATTACATCTATGTAGAATTTTACCATCATACATATGTATATCGTTATTAATAGGAAATCATAATTCCTTAATTTTTTTTTTTATTATAAAACACTTTTCAATATACTATCAACACCACAAACAACTTTTTTAACTTTGCATGTACAGTAACACCCGTATATTTGTTTTCAACCCATATTTTTTTGAAGTTCCATATGAAAATGAATAAATGTATGAAATTTTATTCATTGGACTAAATAGTAACATCTTTTCAACAAGAATTCTTTATAAAATATGTTCTTGTATCAAAATAGTTATCAAAATTCCGGTAATTAAGATGAGTTCGTAAAAAGCAAGGAAAGTTATAAAGGGGTTTGACTGTAATGCAATTTGTTTTATACATTTGATTTTATACATTTAAGTATAAGGTTAAAAGAGATGGAAATATCATTATATATTTGTCTCTCTTTTTAATCTCCGGTTGTTCATTATACATTTTCTTTTGTTGACTTTTCGTAATGCATATGCCATATTACTAATATCAGTCTATAATAGTCAATGGCTCTAACTATATGAAGACAAACCAAACAAACAACATCCAACTTTGACAACTTGACGCTAAATAATGGGTTGCCACCTGATTCTAAAATTTTGCACTTGTCTATTCCAAAATATTGGCTACTAATGCCATCATTACTTTTGAAAAATTGTTCACTTCAAAAATGGACTTTTTGCCTGGTCCATTTCAGATTTTTTTAGATTATTCTGAAATTTATATGCCTCCTATAATCAGAGATTCGAATAATTCAATTCAATTTGAACTTAATACACCAAAATCTTAATTCAGAAATATAAAATTTAATCTACCAATTCTTTTTTAATTCTCAGGAATTAATTCAATAGCTTAATTCAAAGGCTTTCAGTTTATTTTAATTGATTCATATACTGAATTCATTCATGTTTGAATTACATTTTGAATTACAAATTGAATTACGAAATTTTTCTTAAATTCAATTTGTATTAGACTGAATGAAAACGCTTTCGTTGAAGTTTGCTTAGAACAGAATCGGTGTCTAACACAAAAGAATCAGCCAATGAACGTCTTTTGTAGTTCTAGCTTTTCCTTCTGAATAATGTACTTTTAAACTTGCGTTCCTAAATATGTGCGCGTTAATAAATCTGGCCCTCCTTGGAATTCAAATCGAGACTAAAAAATCTGAAAAATAAGTTTTATAAGAAATACAAACAATCTGGAATGATGATTGATTGCTCCAAATATTCCTTATATCGAGCTAAATATAATTTACTCAACCTTGACCTTTAAAAGAATTATTTAAACATTATGAAATTAAATTTCAAACGTGATCCAAAAATATTGTATAAATTTGTTAATTCAAAAAGAAGTTCCGATGGATTTCCAACCTCAATGAAGTACCATTTGTTGAAGTATAATTTGTTTGCTGATTTTTTTGCTTCGACTTACTCTACAACTGAATATGATATATCAAAAACCTATCCATATTCTATCCAAGAACAACAACCAATATAATTTCCTTTTGTGACTACTTCCACTTTAAATTCTCTGATGTTGAAACTAAAATCATCTTTCTTCAGTGGACCTGATGGGATCCCTAACCGCATTCTAATAAATTGTGCTCAATCTCTTACTACTTCGTTAACTATTATATTTAACATGTCTTTAAAGTATGGCTACTTCCCGAAATTATGAAAAAATCGTTTATTCTTCCTCTGTTTAAATCGGGGAATAAATAATAATGAATATAAAATAAAATATAATGAATTATAGAGGTATCGCTAAATTAAGTGCTATACCTAAATTATTTGAACAATACCTCACTGATTTTTTAAGTCGTCAAGTCTCCTCCATTGTTACACCATTCCAACATGGTTTTCGTAAAGGATGTTCGACTACAACTAATTTGTTACGAATATTAATAATAGCTTCATAACTCTACACTGATGTCATATACACTGATTTTAGCTAAGCCTTCGACAAAGTTAACCACCATCTTCTTTTACATAAATTGTACCTAATGGGTTTTACCAACTGCTATTTGGAATGGATAAAATCTTATCTGATATGTCGTGAACAGCATGTGCGTTTTAATAATTCCTCGTCTCAAATTATTTCTGTCAATTCTGGAGTTCCGCAAGGTAGTCATCTCGGACCAATTCTATTCTTGTTGTATATTAATGACCTTCCTACTACATTAAATTCTTCCAATATTCTTATGTACGCCGACGATGTAAAATTGTTATCAAGCTGTGCGGATTCTATTGTTCAAAATTCTTTACAACAGGATTTAAATTTATTTTTCGTTTGGTGCTAAATTAATTTATTGGACATTA